TTTTACATAAGTTGAGGAGATGGGTTTGCCAGTTCTGTCAATGGCTCCTTCTGCGATGATTATGATGTTTAGTCTTGACCCCTTTATACGGCTCTGGAGGTAAACAGACACACGTGCATTAACCAGTATGTCATGAAGCATAATCCTGTTTCCAAGTACCCGAGGGGCTTGTAGATTTAATTTTCATTGTGGTATAGTTTTTTTTTTGTCTTACCACTTCTAGACGGGAACACATCCGGTCCTCCCAGCCCTCCTTAGGGGGAGACTCTGGAATAAAGAGCCAGTCTGCCCCAGATGCCAACGCTGAAACCAACGCCAGATACCTGGAATAACAGCACAGTCACTTATGTTTTATTCAGTGGCTGCTTATAAATAACATCAAAATGTATCTAAGTGTGTTACTCACCCACAGTGTCGACCCATGACTTCCAGAACAAAAGTGCGCTGGTGGCTGTTGGAAGTAGACAACAGTCATGATGAAACTAACTAATAGACCTTTGCAGCACTGTATGTGAACATACCACCTGAGAGTTTTCACTCTGCAGAAGCTCAGCAGCTGAGATGCAAAAGTACGAGTCTGAACAAGCTCATAGGAATCATGCCAAATGGGCTTCAATGGAGGACTTTGGTTAAAAAAAAACTTGGCTTCAATCATCGCATTCCAATACAACAACTTCATATTGCATGTGTTGTATATGTAGATGGGAAACATGAAGCCAAAGCATCTCGATCGCCACCTGGTGGCTGGCTGCAGTATAGATTCTAAATCCTATCTTCTCCATGTTAGTGGATGGGGACATAGAACCAACTAAAAATATATATTTCTCGAAGATGGTTTCAGACATATAAGTTACTTATTCTCAAATATATCAAAGTGTCATTCATTTTTGCATTAAGTTTAGTTTTAATTTGTTATTTGATGCTATAAAACAGGGCGTAAAGTCATGATTGACAGCTGACACTGACTCCTGATTGGTCGAGCGTATGTATCTGCGGGACTTTACTACTGCAGCTCCATCCCCCGATCTATACTGCGCAGATTTTGGCTCCAAAAGCACGAGATGGCAGCGTTAGTATCTGGGATATTTTTGTTCCATTTCTAGATAGTGGGAGGAAGTTGAGATGCGTCGTTCATCTTTATAAACAGTCTAAGTTTGACACAAGACACAATTTACTGTATATGTGTGTAAACTGTATGAATCATATACGACAAAGAAAATCTGCACTTAGTAACATTTCAGAATCTGGAGTGTTTAGTATTCTATGGTAAATTCCTGTTAATTGATTACTCAATGAAATGTTTTGATTGAGGTCTATTACTGCTATAAATAAATCTATTTACAGTTTCTCAATTAAAGTATCATTGTGTTCTTGTTATATCTTCATATTCTGAGCAAATGAATATATCACTTTCATCAGTGACCAAAGGATTAATCACTTTGATGAGACAGCAGCTGTCTGTTCAACATCACACAGCGTCTAACCTCTGTGCTGTGGTCATGATGGCATCAATTATCTCCATGATGCGGTGCAGTGCCGAGTCGGCTCCGATGGTCATGTCAGTGCCACAGAAGTCGTTGTCTATGGAGCCAACAAGCCCTACGATGTTCAGGTGATCGTGCTGCTGGGCCAGAGTGTCTGTGATCCGTCCTAAGGTCAAACACACACACAATGTTGGAAATGTTACATCAGTGGTTTACTGTTATATGTAGAACTAATGATGACATGAATGAAAAGATTCAATTCCATACTCTTCAGCACTTTACCTTTTTGTACGAGCTCCTCCAGCAAACTGCTCCACTCACTGCGGAAGATGTTGGCTCCGGTGAGGCTGCCGTCTCCACCACACACACACAGGTTGGTGATGCCTTTCTTCACGAGGTTGAAGCCAGCGGCCAGTCTGCCCTCCCGCGTTGTGAAGACCTTGCATCTGGCACTACCAATCACAGTCCCACCCTGCATCAGAGACATCATTTAGTAACAAGGAGCAGGACTTTGTCATCTGTCAATAACAAATGTCCTGAAATATGACAGAAAACTTTTTGTTTACTGCAGGATTTTTAGTGGCCTATAGAGACACGTTTGTGATACAAAACACAGTCAGCAAGATTGATACAGAATCAGAATCAATCTAAATACAGGATGCTACGTATGAACAGGGCAACAGTGGCAATAAGAGGATCTGAGTTAAAAACAATACAAACAAAACCATTCGATCAGTTTTAGAGAGGGTAAAACACAGACACATCAGCTACACAAGTCCAAGACAACTCACACTATTGGGAAGCGGAAAAAGGCCAGTGAGACTGTAAATAACTGTTTCAAGAATAGAAAGCAGCTTCCTGCTGGAAGCACATGCAGCAAGACTCCTTACCAGGCTATTACCAGTATAAGACAGGCAGAGGGAAAACAGATCAGGAGAGATGGATGAAATAATCAAATTCCTTTAAAAACCATAAAAAGAGAAATAAAGAAATAGGTTTACGACAGAAGAGACACGGATCTCACTATTTTTTAACACAAGAAATCTGACATGTGACAGTAGGAAAAATTAGATGGACAAAAATAATAATAAATTATGGCCCTACTGATGTGCTAATAGCGTAGCTTGTTACATCAAAAGATAATGTTTCAACCCACCTGCTGGATGATGTTGGTCACACTGTGCCAGTGAGCCAGTTTGATGTTGTCTCCTCCATCCACCAGGCCCTGGTATCCCTGAAACGTACAAATACGCACAGCCGATCCCGGTCAAGTAAGAAAACAGGACTAATTAAATGTGTATATTTAATATGGTAATGGACATGATTAAATAAACAGCTTGTTTATCACCTCATAAATAAGATAGACCTTGGCCCCCACATAAATGCCCATTCGGGTCACAGCTCGGACTGCGGCGTTCATCCCTGGGTCGAGGACAATTGCATAAAAAACATCAAGATTCAAATCTGACTTTGAAGTGATGACACACAAGTGGTTACTGGTGCAATAATGTGCACATCAAAAGATGGAGTAATATTAATTAAGTAACACATGGCAGGGTAGTGGATCCAGGAAGTGTTGTTTTTCCCAACCCACATTAAGACCTCGTCATGTATTTGTTCTTTTTATTTCCCATTATTAACTTGAATATCGTGGTATAAGTATAAGTATATTACGTAAATGATGTAATAGTATTTTACTTGTTGTCTTTAATGTATTATTTTCTTGTTTTATTGAGTCATCTTTGTACAGCACTTTGTGTTTGGTGCTAAGTTATTATTATTATAATGTTTATCATATTTTGTTTTATCAACTAACCATTCAAAAGAATGAGTTCAGTCAAAAGTGCAGTTGTTTTTCTCAAATGTTAGAAAGTAGCAAAACTCGATATACTCACATAGAAGTACAAGTAATACCTCATGCAACACTCAACTACGTTTCTTGTGTACTCAGTTACTTTCCACCATTGTGAGTTACCTGCTGTACAACAGAGGTCAAGCGTGTTGCGGCACACACATGACCTTTGACCCCTGATGACAGATCTGAAGGTTAACAACAGGAAACACTGTGATCATATGTTCAGTCATTGTCAGTCTCCTCTCGCTGCTGTTGTTTCCCTCCTAAATTCAACCTTGACCTCACCTACACATGTACCTGAAGGCAACACGCTGCGTTTGGATGTCAGGATATCTGAGTTATTTACGTCACCTTGTGCATCTCCGCCGCTGGTCAGCACAGCCATGGCCCGCCCGGCCCCCGTCATCTTCAGCAGCTCCAGGTCCATGGAGGACATGTTTAAACTCCAACAGCAGGCGGTGCACAGTCGATCTGAAGTGTTGTGGTTCGGTTTGTTGAGTTAGTCCAGATGTTTCCTCCTCGATGGCGGAAGGTTATCTAACTCCCTCGATCAGTAGACGCACTTCACCCGTACTGACACTTCTCCAGTGTCTGACTCCGCCCTGTCCAGCGGAGTGTACCGTGCGCTTGTTTTATAACCCCGCTCCGCCCGGTCACACGCGCCCCTCCTCCAGAAGTTCCAGAAGTCCGTCTTTTCTTATAAGCCCCGCCCACTCGCTGAACGGTTAGGAGGAAATGTCCGCATCACGTTCCGCACGCAGTCCAGGCAACAGGTAGGGTTAAACTCCGCCCACTGATTTGAATGTGATTTATATGTAAAATTAAAACTCATGTAACTCATTTCCTTCAACATTTTCTTGTATTTTTTATATCCAAAAAAAACTTTGTATTCTAAATATAATTTGTTGCTGATACTTAATAAAGTTTAATACATGATTTCTAGTTGCAATACAGTATTTCTACATTTTGGTATTCCTACTTTTTATTAATTTGGAGATGTGTGTACCTATTTTGTCCATAGTTTTCACTACTGTACGTGAAATGCATTTCTCAGTTTTATGTTTAATATTCCTATTTAAATACTGACACAGTATTCCCTGAACTTGCATGAGAGCTGGTATTTAGCTGAATATGTGGGTGTGGATATTTCTGTACCAAAGATCCTCAGAATATACAAAACAGTGAAATAAAAATACACAAACTAGTAATACTGTTGAGGAAAATGTTTTAAAATTATTTCATATCAGGGCCATATCATCATATCCATATTAATTCTGGGAATTTGAATATTTTCCTAATATTAGTAATGGTAAATTACTATTATATACAATACATTATATGTTATCATATTATAGCAACTAGTAACTAGAAGTCTGAAATTGTTTGGGGAGAATGTCTCAAAATGTGACTGACTGTAGCTGAAATAAAAATGAGGTTTACTGAAAATGTAATTGGACACTTAAATAAATTAAATATATTTTAAAAAGGAATTACTAAGATATATGCACATAATATTTTGTGTATGTAATGTGGATTTCAATTCCCTGATAACTCTATCAATGATACAAGTAAATAAATGTGAATAAATTAATACATTTTCAACATTGATACAAAAACAATAATGTTGTAGTTGACAGAAGAGAGTGACCACAGGGTTTTGGGTACAGTACATCAGCATTTATTCCATGCAGTTGTTTGCTCTGATTTTATTCTCCCAGATACCCGTTGCACTGTACACTGGATAATACAGGAAACGGACAGGATGGTTGATCGTAATGCCATTTAACAGGATGGGGGGGGAGTAAGAAATGATAACAACAAAGGAACAGATGCTTGGTGCATGGGATGAGGCGACATGATGTCCACAGTTAGAGACAGTTGCACTGAAATTCAGATGTAAGTAACAGGTACTTTTGACTAAAAATGAGAGGAAGGGAATCAATGCAGAAGTTTGGTAATAGCCAGAACTCGTGCCTCCAGGTTTAAAGTGTCATTTCTGCTGCTGTGACAGTCACTTGACTGACTTTTTGGTTGGAAACAGGAAATTCCATAGAAGCTATACCGAGATAAAAAAAAAAAAAAGATTTAGGAACACTTGGTGTTACTAATTACTGATAAAGTAAAGTCTGTATAATCAATACTTCGTCCGCAGCGAGGATGTAAATGATGAATGGTCCCCTGCAGAGTCGATGATATGACAATGCTTTTGTTCTCGCATACAAATACTGTCCTCTTCCCACACCAATTCATTGTGCTTCCTTTAAATAATACTTTTCAGGAGAAATCATAGGTCACAAAATTTCTAAAGCTGCCTGGAAATAAAAAGAACAATGCACCTTACCAGGCATTCTTAATAAATTAAATCAATAATCACGTAGGCCAGCTACAAAAAAAAGAATCAAAATTAAATTAAACTTTTACAACAATCATACTTCACAGGATATATGCCAAAAAGACAACGTTATTAACAGCTTGATCAGATTTACCCAGTCATTACATCACACTAGGTTATTTCACACAAACGTAAACAGGATGAAGAAGGTTAAAGGAGGCTTGAGGAAAGGCAGCAGCTGTTCTCAGTACCAGGGGTGAGCCTTTACCAAGCTTTTCACGCACAAAAAGCTCATTTATCCATCAGTACAGGTTAAGATTCACCTTGTGCTACTCGGTTTGTATGCCCCCCCTCCCGCAGTGCTCAATACTGATGTGATACAGATTAAAGAACTTCCTGCTGATTTTATACCACTCTGCTGGTCGTCGACGTCAGGCTCGGTCCGAGCTGTGCGATATACGTTGAAGAGAGAGAGGACGAAGAACAGGTCACGTTACACTTACATTTAGGTGTTTATATACAATAATACTGAGATGAGGTCGCTGAAAACCAAGAGCAGCTTTCATTGCTCTGTGGCCTTGTCTCTGGCTTATATTCCTTAAGTAGAATCTCAGCTGTCAGTATACACTTGAGCATTCTTGACATCGTTATCGCTTAAATTCAACCCTGGCTGGCTATTTTTCTACGAGCAAAATCATTAGGGTGAATGACAAACACTCAGACGGGGCTAAAAAATATAGCTCTCGCAGATGCAGTATCCCTTTTCAATAGCAACCGCACGAAAAACGTAATATGAAATAACCTTGTGTGGAAAAAAGGAATGAAAAGCCATAACACAAGGCAAACTAGGTCATTGCAAGTTTTGCCATCTAGTGACTGTCGATGCATCGCTCCTGCTCTCTACTTCCAACATAAAACCTGAGCATTGAGCCCTGTAGAGGTGAGTTCACAAAAAATGGGACAATCTAAAAATATACCATCTATAATAAACAGTTTGACACACGCTGCTCTCTTCTAGCCAACAGCCACTGTGTTGTGTCTAGCCAGCTAGACGCCCCAAACCCTGAGCTAGCAACGTCTTTTTCTCACCTGAGCACCAACTTGTGTTATTGCTGTTTTAGTCAGCACAGCACAGAATTTTTTTTTTTGCCTTTTTCAGACTCAGATCCATACGATGGTGTGAATAATCCTGCTACGCTGCACCTCTTGATTTTCAATAAATGGGATACTGCACCTGGATTGCGACTAGAACACCACATGTCTACGTAACATTAATGTCCAGCAATATAGAGTTGAACATCAAGGCTATCTGTAAGACTGTTATTTTTAATATTCCTGCATGGTCCATTAAATGTGCCGCTCGAAGAACATTCCTACGTACAACAATTGGTCCAGTCTGGTTTCTCAAAGTCCTCGAATGATCCTGAGATGAGACTTGAAACTGTGATGACTAATGGAGAGGAGAGGGCTTCGTGAACCCACGCACAAACACTGATATCGCTCCCATTGCTCTGGTCAGGACATCTGATTGATGATGATGACGATGGCGTGTCTTAGAGAGAGGGATGAGCAGGGGCAGAGATGAAGAATCTCTTTTTCTTTTTTTTTTGTCTTCATCTCTACTGCCCTGCTAGCTCGTCCACGTCATGCAGTCTTCTGGCAGCTTTTTGCCTTTAGCGAGCTGCACGGACATGCTTGGACTGTTCAGCAGGTGGTGGGTCTGCACAAATGGTTGTTTCTAGAGAAAAGGAGGAGGAGGAGGAAGTCCCATTTGCGAGGCAGGTTGTTTCATGCTGGTGTTCACGCTTTTTTCCATGAGCCCCTGTTCCCTCGTTGGGTACAGGATGGAAGAGGGCACTGGGGCTCTGCACAGTAAAGTCATAATGAAGCAGGTAAGTTGGACTGTTGTACGAGAGAGGACTCGGTTGGTTGGTTTGGGGTCTAAAGCAGTAAGATGCTGAGAGCAACTGCGGCCACATCAAAAGACGTGTAAAGACGTGTAGAGACCGACTATCGCGGTGATGTAACGTCCCACAACCGTCAGCCTCAGATGGATCAGAACATAATCCTTCTCATCATCATCACCTGCATCTTCATCCAGTCTCACCCTCACAAACAGTCAGCTCATGTTTCAAAATGTCAGTTTTATTTCTCTGTTCGGATCAGAGAACTTGCAGAGGTCCTGAATTTTCCTTCAAAACTATGACAAAAATAAATTATGAATGTTACACTATCTGCTGTACATTATCATTCAAAAGGGAATCCCTGCCATGGGTTGCCTGGATGCTGTGCTAGAGATGAGGAGAAGGAGTGGGGCTCATGAAGGGAAGGGTTTGGGGGAGGCTCTGGGAGAGGTTGCTTTGCTATAGGGAGCTATGTTTACAAGGTCGTCCTCTTATTGCTGTATTTTCCTAGGGGCAGAGTGGGACACGACGGTCTCCAGGCAAATAACTGAACGGAGCCCCCGGGGCGTGTTTCACCAAGAGGAAGGAGCCCCGACTTTGTTGTTCCTGATGGTGGCGTCGGAGCACTCTGCTTCTGACGAATCGCAGTCTGAGTCTCCAAACTGCAGCGGATTCTGAGAGAGAAAACACAGAGGAACATCATCACACACTTGGTGTTCACTTTGCTCATATTCACCCCCAAGTTTTAGCTGAAGTGTGGGGCTAATCTCTGTGTATGGGGCGCAGTTGTCCTAAGTTGTTCTAAATGGTGGCACATCTGTCTCAGCCAGTGATTCAAACAGTAAGGGCAGGAGAGGACGGGGGACGTCTCTGAGGGTTTATGGGTTTAGTTTCAGCACAGATTTAAAAATGAGCAAGGCTTTCCAGTTAAAGGTGTTAACGTTTTCAAATATATTTAATGTCATGATGTAGAGATTTTGCAAACATTTGACTCTACGTAAGAATTGGTCCTGCACATTCTAAGACAGTTTTGAACACTAGGTGGCGTTATGAGCCATGTGCAACCCATAAATGTAGATTATTTTTAATAAATGTGTCATTAATGTATTTCATTAAAGAACAGTCACACAATTTAGTTCACAGCTAAAACACAGTATCTCTTTATACATAGATGTTTGGGATGTAAAATGAATCCCCCTCAGATCCACAGTACTGACCTCGTAGCTGTGTTCATCTGAGCACAGTTTTCCCAAGGAGATCTGTGTCTTGACCCTGCGGACAGCGCACTCCTTGTCAGAGAGGCCGTCTGACTGGGTGGAGATGTCGATGGGGATGTCCGGTGTGTGCGACAGCAGCTCGTCCAGGTGCTCCTCCTGACTGGCGCTCATCCTCTCCAGGGGTCCGCTGTGGGAGTGGTCGCTGGTGTTTCCCTCCTCTCCGTCGGACACAGACAGGTTCTCTGAGCTGAAGGTGGAGTAGGACTGGAAGCTGCTCATACAGCGATGAGGCCTGTGAGGAGGCAGGGGAGGAGATTTTTTAAGCCTTTTAGTTTCATAACTCACTCAGTGTATTATGTTCTTGTCGGTACTACAAGCTGTAGTGACCGTCCTGATAATCAATCAGCCACTTAGCTATTTTCTGTTATTGTACTGCATGATGTAATAGTGTCACATTATAATGTAGGTGACATATGCAAACTTTTACCTCGGTCTCCTTGGAAACTCCACTTCACTGTCCACCTCTCCCTCTTCCTCTTCAGATGACTCATCTCCACCCTGTCAGAGAAACAATCATCTTTCAGTTTCCTCACACAATCACATTTCCCAGATTCCCTGATGTTAGGCTTCGAGCTGAGTTTACCTTCCTGAGTGGTCTGAGGGTGTGTGGCAGTGCAGTGGGCAGGGTGTGTGTGTGTTGGGATGCCTCCTGTTCCTGTAGCTCAACCTTCTTTGAGCCCTCTCTTTCCGAGGCTGGATCCTTGCTGGGCGCACCTAAAGAAGACCGGGCCCCTTCTTGGGTGCCGAGCAGCGAGTAGTTGGGGAGCTCTGGGTTGCTGGACGCAGGCGTCGTCTCCTGACAGTGCAGGCAGCCAGGGAAGGGGTGTGCCTGGCAGCAGGGGCACAAAGAACTGGCGGTAGCACCTGAGACAGGATTTGAGCCAGTGGATGGAGTCTGTTGTCGGGTGTCTGCATCTATAGTAGTGGAAATGAGGTCGGGGCCTGAACCAGAAACAAGACGCTGCAGGTGGTCCGTCTGAGGGCTGCGGAGGGCAGCGGCAGGGCCGAAGTAACGCAGGTTGTTGGCACAGTTGACAACAGCCTCCTCGCGGCCCTTCAAGGGAAGTAAGGGACCCTTATTTGGTTGGTGGTGGTGGAGGTGGTGAAACGGCTGCGCCTGGAGAGACCGGCTGTCTTCCGGGGCCCCAGCAACAGGCCTCAGCACGCCGGGGAACTCGCTGTGGCTTCCTTTGCTATTGGCGCGGCGGTGACGAGGTTTGCTCCGGTAACGGGCTTTACCGGGAGGTGTGGAGACCTTCGGGCTAGCAGACAGTGGTGAGGGGGAGGGAAGAGGGTCAACACTGGGGATGCCATCAGAACGAAGCAAGTCTGGCCTGTAAAACGAGTATCCAGCAACATCAACATATTGCATTTGAGTGACTTTGATTCTCTGAAATATAACGTTTCATCTTACTTATTTATATAGCACATAAACATTTGAAACTGGAAATGCGTCAGACCTTTTGGTGGGGGGAACCCCAGGTTTGTGGGAGATGCTTCCTTTCTTCTTGATGAGCTTCTCTACAGCGTTGGACCTGACGATGGGTCGGACCAAATGCCTCTTGTAGGTCCCGGGATATTTTTTCTCCACTGCCTGCTCTCTCCTGCAGGGGCAGCAGAACTGATTTAGAGATGTGTGACTGTCTGGGAGCATCATTAACATTCACAGAGTTGAACTTTCATTGGTCTAAACTGAAAAAAACCCATAATTTTAATACAATGATCACACTGATATTTATTGAAAAACAGGAGGACATAACAGCAAATTTTCAGAAAAGGAACAAAATCCTGAGGGGATAAAAATAGTTAAAGGAATTTGCAAACAGACTTATTTATTTGAATCTTACTCCAGTGGAAAACAAAAGAATAAGAAGCAAAGTCTGAAAATCGATTGGGATGTGAACCAAAAATTGCCAATAACTTTTAGTTAATTTCGCCTGGACACTGTTATCATTTTAAATGTTGTTACTTGTAGAAGTAATTCCTTTGAGAAGAAGGGAATGGGATACTGACAGGTCTGATGATGAAAGAAGGAGCTAACATGTGATATGGTTTTTCTTTTACATACTTCATTAGTTCCTTCTCCCGGACCTCCAGCTGCAGCATGATGGCACTGAGCTCCATGTAGAGGTTGTTGGCTCTCTCCAGTTTCCTCTCATAATGCTCCCGGATGTCCAGTGCGTGTCTGAGGGTCGACAGGAAACACAGCAAAATATTTATTTCCAGCTACTTCAATTTCAAGCAATTAATCACTGAAAAAAGCACTAGAGACGTACTTAGGATCGTCTGTGGAATGATCTATGATGCCATGTAATTCATGTTTGTAAGGGAATGGTACTTCCGCATAGTTTAGCCAAATACGGGTACTACACTATTTGTTTGCTTAAGTTCAACAACAAGAAAGAAGAACATGTTTACTGTTGTCTTCTTTATGGTAAATGGACGGTATTTATATTATGTGTTTCTTCTCTTATTAACCACTTAAAGCTCTTTAGTCACATTCACATTCACACACACTCATACAGCTTTGCTATCTTTCTATCTTTTCTTTTCTATCACACATTGCGACTCTGACGGAACAGGACTTCTTGGACAGACAGACACTTGGTATGTGGACTGGATCGAACCATCCACACCCAAGTTAGTTATGACTTGCTCGACCTACTGAACGACAGCCGCCCTGAATGTTTACATCACTCCCACTAGTTCTGATGTCATTCTCACCTGAGTTCATCTCTGCGGCGCCGGATCAGCTCCTCGTCCAGTCTGTGGATGCAGGTTCCTTCACTTTTGATCTTCTCAAAATGTTTCTTCACTTCCTCCCTCCATTCGGACTGCAATGTGAATGGATACAATGGAAATGTCAAAACAAACACTGCTGTCAATGCTACAGCAGAGAAAATATTGTCTGGAGTACGGTGCTCTTCTTTTGAGTGCATGCCAAATGTGTTTTAGGAAATAAGTGTATAAAACCCTGTGATAAAAAAAAAATTAAGGTAATTTGTGTTTTTCAGCTGCAGACCTGAGACTTGAAGTAGGTCTCCTGAGGAGCGCCGAGGACATCAGCAGAGGCGATGTCAAGGTGCAGGAGAATCTGACGAAACGAAGGCCGATTCCTGGGCTTACCTTGCCTGGAATCAACCATAAAAAAACACCAATTAGGGATGTGTTCAACTATTTAACATTTTACAGGGGATCAGAAGTTGTGAAAAAACATGTTACTGTCCATACTCACCATGTTTGTTTCATGAGGATTTTGAAGCCATCTGGGCAGGTGGAGGGGACAGGAAGGTGAAGACTGTTGCTGCCAACTCCCCAAATGATGGCAGAGGAGTCAACATCTTTGTAGGGAATCTCACCAGTCAGCAGCTCCCACAACACAACTCCGAATGACCTGCAATACACAAGTAAAGAAAAAAAGGTCTCACTAGAGCAACAGATGACTAATATCGATGACAAATAGCAATAGAGGGATGACTTCATTTTCTCAATTGTAATGAAGCATACAAATAATATGTCTCAAAATCTAAACTATAACAAGCTTTAGCTACATCTATTTTAATATATCTCTTAAAATGATCTATTATTTTAAACTTGTGGCCTTTCAGTACTCACCAAATGTCGACCTTCTCAGACACAGGCTCATTTCGGATCACCTCTGGGGCCATCCAGGCCACAGTACCCGCAAATGACATCTTTGTACTTTTGTCACTGAGCTCTTTGGACGTTCCGAAGTCAGATATTTTCACAGTGTCGTTGTGGGTGACTAAAACACTGAAAGACAAAAAGACAGAGCACAGAGGCTTAGATTAAAAATGACAAAAAAGACCAGTTTAAAACAAGTATATAATAATGTGCCAACTATATGGTAATTGTAAAGCTATTATTAAAAAAAGCATGTTCACCGTTTCAGGCAGTTTCAGACAACCATTAATCCTGGTCAGATGGCCAAGTCAAATGAGATTAAACTTTTCTGGCATATTCATCCTGTTATCATTCTGCTGACTCATACAGTGTTTGGTGCTGCTGCAGCACGATGATATTGATTTGAGTAACAAGGCTACAGTGTGCAGAGGAGGAGGCAGGAGGAGCAGGATGGGACACCACAGCACTCACATGGTGCCACATAACAATAAAAAAAAAAAAAAAAAAAAGGAAAACATACTGCGCCTAACTTTTTCTGCCTCACATAGAGAATCATTTTTATTTGAATCATCTCCAAATAAGAGTTCAGAGGCTCTGGAACACCCTGCCTAAGGAAAGATGGCAGGCTGAGTCAGTAGCTTTGTTTAAATGAAAGCTTCAAACACTTTAGTGTTTTAATCACTGTAATGGGTGATCGTGCTTAAATTTCTGTCACACGTTTAGTGTTTTTATTCTATAAGTATTTTAATTTGTTTTTATGTTATTTCTATGTTTTTACTTGTGTTTTTTATATCGATAAAGAACGTTGTAACTTAGAGGTGCTGTAGAGATATAGTCTTTATTTAATCTATAACACAATACAATAGTATGCAATGCTTTAGGTTGATCATTTTCTTAGCAGTAGAGTTGACAGGAATGAGAATTAAAAGCAGAGTCTATTATATTCTGGTCTTATAATAAAAAGCAAAACAAGAAGCTCACTTGGGAGACTTGAGATCTCTGTGGATGATCTTGTGCAGGTGTAGGTAGTTCATGCCGCTGGCGATGCCTGAGGCCCAGTCCACCAGCAGCCTGGGGGTCACTTTCCTTCCCGCCCTCAGCACCTCGTACAGCTGGCCCTGGGCACAGTACTCCATGATGATGCAGTAGCACGGTGCCTGAGTGCAAACACCCCTGAGTGCAAGAAAAAAACGCAAGAAAAACATTTACACACCACAGAGAAAAACAACAGGACAGCAGCAGGTGACAAACAAAGTCAAGTTGTCATAGACTCACTTAAAGCTGATGATGTTGGGATGCTTGAGCTTCCGTAGGTGTTTAATGTCCGTCTCCTTCTGCTCGCGCACCTTCTTGATGGCCACCTCCTCAGAGAGGAATTTGCCCAGGAAGACAGCTCCCTGTGCGCCGCTGCCGAGCCACTGCAGCTCAGAAATCTCTTCAAACGGAACCTCCCACATGTCTGGATTACATGTAATTAGAATGAATGCAACATAATGTTACTTGTGCATATGATTGTCTAATTTTGACAAAATATCTCAGGCAGGGACCCCCTCATATATGCTCCTTGGCATAATTTGACATAGCCTACTTTTTTACACTAAGCAACGTGAAAGAACAAAATGAGAAAATGTCTGAGAAAGATATTAGACTTAGTTTTAAATATATACCCATATATCATGATCATTTTAATAGATGAATCTGGAAACTATTCACAGACCCCTGGCAGTGGGCATCAGACCCCCATGTGAGAACCACTGCTTTAGAGAAGAAGCCTTCTTCTTGAACTTATTCATATTTCTCTCAAGTCTGTATGATAAATATATGAGGCTAATTATATGACACTACAGCCAGCAACTGTAAAGCTTAGCCTAGCATAAAGAGTGGAAAATAAGGGGGAAGTGCCTGGTTAACTGGTAAAAACAAACAGCGTCTTGTTTGTTTCAATACAGAATTGAAGCACTAAAACAAGATGTTGTGTTTCTCCCTGAGGTTAATTAGTCATACTGAGCAAAAATAAACCTAAAGAACTGAAGGCAAAAAGCTCCAAACATCTTAAATCTTTAGAGGGTGGGTCACATGCTGTTCTGTCCTTGTTATGTGAAGGTGAAAACAGTGTTGATGATAAAATCTTTAAGCTCGTTCTGTCTGACCTCCAATCGTACCATGTAGCCCGCGTGTCCAACCTGATCAGGCAGGCCGGCAGCAAGGTGAGACTACCTTTACTGTGACCTCAGTTGAAGCTGACAGCTGTACAGATTCACCACATCAGCAGTACAGCGCAGCTAGGGCTGGCTATTGAGTTATGGTTTCAGGCTACATTAGGGGAAACAGGAATCTAAAGTTTGTCCCTCAAAGGTCTTAAAGATACAGGGACATTTGGATAAAACACAGAAAGACACAATCCATGAACAAACCTTGCTGTTGTAGCTTGTATTCCGTCGAATACGTCTTCCCTATAATGTTCCAGACCGGCCGCAGACAGCCAAACAGCCCTTCTAAGAAGCCCCCTGACCCAGGCCCTGCTCTCTGGAAGTGCAGCTTGATGTCATCAGGGTGATGTGGGTGGCTCTGTCTCCCCTCTCCACTATGGTCCATGGGACAGTCCCCCTCTACCATCTGCTCCTCCATCCCACTACCACACCCACCATGCTCACAGGATGCCGGCGACACAGCTTCTTCCTGGTCCTGCTCCTGCAGCTGAAGCACACTGTTGTCGAAGTGCCCACCCTCGCCCCGCATGGAGTCCACACTCAGCGCCGTGTTTGGGGGGCTTACACCCCCCAGCATGGAGTCCTCGTCATGGCCGGGTGTCTGCAGCGTCTGCAGGGGGACAGGCAGGTGTGTTGGTGGGGCCAGGTCTGTGATGATCTGAGGAGGTAGGTTAGAGGGAGGGGCCTGAGGAGGCTGGGGTTGGGAGTTGGGCTGGTTGGATTTCTTCATGGCGTCCCCGACCACAGTGAGTTTGAGCTCCTCCTTCAGCTTACCCACCAGCAAACTGGGGCAGGAAGTCCAGGACAGCACCTCGGGGGAGCTACCCATGGTGTCGTGCGTGTGCATGGGCTGCCCAATGATGATGTGAGGGGTGCGTCCTAACACACTGGTTTGTCTGGATGCTGAAAATCACCTGCGAGAGAAAGAGAGAGACAGGTTTACTTAATTATAAAGAACATAGAAAATGGAATTAAAATAAAAAAAGCTACGTTGATTCAATCTGGGTGATCGTAGACCTCTCTGAGACAACACAATTATATCTGCTGCCATAGTGGGACCCTATGACTTCCACAAATAGAAATGCTATCCTCTCACTTCCTCTCATTGATCCAGGGCTGAGAGAGCTCACGTTAATTATTATTACTGCAAACAACGCAGAGCGGAAAAGGTCAGACATTTCAGATGAGCTTTAAATCAGTGCACAAGAGACAAAGAGTTTCTGCATGAGAGATGTTGCAGTATAGTTCTAAATAATGCAGCTCTGGTAAACATCTGGGACACAGTTGGACTAAAGACACACACAGTAACAGTATAGCAGAGGGATTAAAGGTCTTGCTGTGTATTAGGAAGACTGAGAGCAAAACATCTGGCGCACACGACCCATCCTCACTGCTTAACCAGCAGGGCCGGACATAGCTGCCACATATAACTGTCCATAAGACCCACAGTTTTCTTCAGTCACTCAACCACCAGGGAATCTATACAGTTTTAATCTGTTACATGAGACAATGTTTACACAGGCCTAGGAAGGGTCACATTGGAGGTCAAGAAAAAGGTCTTGTCAGGTGATATGAGTAAATGTATATGTAACACTGAGATATCTATACTGTGATTGTAATATACAAACTGTTACAGAATATTTTCTGGAACATCAATAGAAAAAC